TTGGGTTTTTTTAAAAAAATGGCGCCCAGGGGGGAAAAACCCACCCCGGGGGGAAAACCCGGGGGGGGGGGGGGTTACAAAAAAAAATTTTTTTTCCGCCCCCCCCCCCCATCATATTTTGGGCGGGGTTCCCCCCCCCCTTTTCCCCTTTTAAAGGGCCCCTTTTTTTTTTGGCCCCCAAAAATGGCGGTGGGCCGGAAATAGGGGTTTTTTGAAGGTTAATCCCCCCCCCCCGGGGGCTCCTTCCCGGTTTGGTGGGGAGGGGGGGTAAAGGTTCCCAGGATTCCGCCCCCCAGGACTGGGGGTCCCCCCCCCCCCCCCCTCCTCGGTTGGTTGTCGTTCGGGTCTTTTGTTCGATGTTTTTCTTCTTCCGTTTCTCCAAGCGTAGTCTGCTGACCTTCTCTTCCTCCTTGTGCCATTTGACCGTGAACCTCTTGTGCCTCAGTACGCCCCCCCCCGCCCCCCCTGCTCGGTTGGTTGTCGTTCGGGTCTTTTGTCCGATGTTTTTCTTCTTCTGTTTCTCCAAGCGTAGTCTGCTGACCTTCTCTTCCTCCTTGTGCCATTTGACCGTGAACCTCTTGTGCCTCAGCAACCCCCTCGCTGCCAGAGCCAGCAGGCATGCGGTATCCCGGACGTTCTCTTGTCTTCCCCCGTGGGTTCGGCTGTGGCGTCGAACGCTGTGAAGTCGACCTTCAAGAATTTCGCCCAATTCTGTTCCGGGCATACACCCCTGTCTGGTTCCTCCGCCCCAACGATGTCGCCGAGCATCACTCGCTTCGAGAGTCGCCCTTCCTGTTGTCCGGCCAATGCTCCAGCAAACAGTAGCCCCCGTAGCCGGACTACAATATTTAGGTTCCACGCTTTGGCATCCGACCTTTTCAAGGGTCTGGGCGTATGAGAGCTGCCGATAATGGCCGCGCGTGCGGCGGTACCCGATAACCCGTAGCAGAAGCCGGTGGTGTGCACTCGTCAACAGATTGTAGTGGTCGTGGCGCGGGGCCCACGTCATACATCCGCTGAGCAGGGCCTCCATCACCTCCGCATTCAGAAGCCCGGCCTTTAATTGCCACGGTGCTGTCTGCCGGTCGAAGAGCTCTCGGGCGTACTTCCAGAGACACCCCCACGCTGCTCTGCTCCGTTGAGGGACAATGATGCTTTTCACGAAAATCAAGTAATTGGGCAAGGGCAAGGGATAAAATTAACCCTCACACCTAGCAAGGTACCCCGGGAGGGCCATTTTTTCTCTTGTTCTTCTTGACCGTATGCATCGTGTGATGGGCGTCTAATCTGTTGTTTCTACAGAGAGGTGATGGGCGTCTAATCTGTTGTTTCTACAGAGAGGTGATACACTGGCACACAATATGCCTTACATGCCTTCCCCAAGAACACGCTGTTGTTGTTGGCGAAGAAACCACACGTCAATCATCCACACCATCTACATATCCTCGAACCAATTTTCAGTGAAGCTTGAAGCCCTGAGAAGCATCATGCCTCTGCGCGCACGAGCAAAGAACCCCAATGCTCGACGGAAATCGCGGATCATATGTAGGAGCTCGCAATTATGCTGAGTGTTCCGTTCCGCCTACCGTTCGTTCCTCCATATACTGCGACGAGCATTACCGCACGCCAACTCCGGAAACCACCGTTCGTTCCGGGGTGCGTTTACGCCCCCTCGAGCTTACGGCTCCTATTCCTCTCCTCCTCCTCCTCCTCCTCTCCTCTTTCCCCTCCTCTTCGCCCCTTTCCTCCTCGTATTCTCCCCCCTCCTCTTCCCCTTCCCCCCTCTTCCTCTTCGTCACTGCTCTCCCCCTCTTCCCTGGACGACGAGAGTCCGACAGTACTTGCTGAGCTGCTTTGTTCCCTCGCCAAAGGAAGAGAGGGCAGACACACACGGGCAAGACGGGCAGACTTCTCGACCCCTCCCCCCACGCCGGGCCCGTCGCAGCAGTTTCTACGTAGGCACTTGGGCCTTCGACGGAATATGCATGCCTGTGGCAGGCGTGCGTGGTCTCGCCTTCCTTCTGTCCCTCTGTGGACACATCGAAGTATCATGTTTTTCGTCGTGTGTGCGGGCCCAAGTGTAAGAAACACACCTACTGTAGGGCAACACAACACGAGAGCTAATAACAATCCTGCCTTCTGGCACCCGGACCCTTCTTCAGGTTTCCTGCCGCCTTCGTTTTCGCTTCCTCGCTCACGTCGTGGCTAGCTTTAAATCTCACAGTATGGGGATGGATCCGTTTGTCTCTGCGCCATTGACGGGCCTTGTTGCTCCTGTAGTGTGGTAGGACACACGGAACTTTCACACCCAATGGACAGCTGCCTAGGCTAGGCCTACTACTGCGCCCCCCCCTGAGGGTTGGCTCTTGCGGCACGGGGCTATAGCTGCAAAACTGCAGTATAGGCCATGGGTTGTTAAAAGTATAATATCCTGTGAGCTTGTTGGCTTCGGTCCTAGAGTGCACATCCTATATAAGGGTGTCCCATGAACGCCCTACCTACCGTAGAACATATAATCTTAGCGACGTGTTCGCTGTGTGTGGCACGCGTGCTTTTGTGTTTCTTAGCCATCCCGTTGCGTTCGTTTTGTTTAGGTGCGCATATGGAGACCACCTTCATAAAGGTACAATCTCTCCAACGTCTGTCGAGGACGGTTTCCTCTTTTCACAATGGTGTCGACGAAGAGATGTACGTCTGATTGCCTGCTTTTGTGCACGACTTTTTTTTTCCGGGCGCCAACTGCATGTGTGTGTGCATTTCGCACCGACGCGTGCATTCGTCATGACAGGTCTATCGGGGGTGTATCGGGACCGGACGATCCGTCGAGCATGGCGGCGAGAGCCACCGAAACCTTGCAGACTTGGCTATATTCTGTGATCCATGGCACTCCCACTTTTTCACTGGCAAGATTTTGCCTTTCGGCTTTGATCCGTCGTTCCGTCTCAGGGTATCTCATTCCTCGACTCTCTCTCTCTGTCTTTCTTCCCCCCTATGGTTGGCTCAAAACTCCCGCTGAGGCCATGCCACCTGAAACCTCTCAACCTGACCAATACCTTCGCCTAGGGAACTAACTGGGTACAGGGTAGATTCTCCGTCGATAGTCATTGGATGGACATCACGTCAAGGCCCGATGTAGATCCCTCTGGCAACGAGTAAGGTGCGACAGACCCTGTGACGTCGGGAGGGCCCGAGACCCGAGACCGCTCGGGGATAAACACTGGAGCAGCCCTCCTGTTCATGTTGTTGGTAGCCACACACAAACACACGGCAACAAGAGAATACGATGTCCTTCACGCGCCACCCACACATTGAATGGTCTACCTCACCGTCGCATAGTCTACCCACCACCGAATGTGGCATCATCGTGCCTCCTGCCACTAATCACATAAGATCTACCCCGGGTTGCACAATGTTGGGACCAAAATATGTACACAGGAAAGATATCTCGCTTGGTTACGCAAGAATTGACCCAATTGCATCCCTAACAGAAGCACCTCACGCACACACATACTGGCGACACCCAAATTCCTCCTAGATTCCGCTATTTTTGGTCCATGCGTGCACTACGCTCCTTACGATCAGGCATCAACCTGTGGTGGTGTGGGAGGAAAAGAGCCGCAGGCGCTCTAAACCCTGAACTGCCGCCGTGGAGCCTTGCGCGCCAACGCCGTAGGGATGGGTACATTCTGCCACCACGCACCGTCTTTCCTCGCCATCTCTACCTCCAACCAGGATGGTACTTCAGCGCGGTCGCCGGGCACGACCTGTCCGTCCGCCGTGAAAACCATGTCGTGGTTAGTGGCCTCATCGAGGACGGAGAGCAGCGTGTGGGCGGTCTCGGGAACGGGCTTGAAATCGAGGCTCGTCTTGCCGCTACCGTCACCGGGGGACGGCGATGCTGCTGCTGGTGCCGTCGGCGCCCCGGGCAGTCCTGGCGCGTCGGCAGAAGCTGCTGCTCGAAGCCCGGTTGTTGTGCGAGCCCACAGCCCGGGGTGCCTGAGGAAGAGCGCCACAGTTTTCATGTTGATCCTCTCGCGGGGGTCTACAGCCATCATCGCGCCCAGCACCTTCCGCACCTGCGTCGTAGTGTGTTGTTGGTTGTGGGTGTCGAGTTGGTGTGCAACGTTGGTGGTGTTGTATTCTGGTTCTTTCTGTGTTCTCTGCTTGGTTTGTACTGCAGACCGATCCCTTTCTGGGATATGCTCGGGTCGTGCGGGGAGGCACCGTGACCATCTCTTGGCATGGACCTCTAAAAGTTAAATAGGGCGACCTTGTCCCAGCTCAAATATCCTTGCGCTGTCATACCCGTAGAATCGAACAGTCAAGGCTTGACGAAGACAACACATGCGACTTACTTCGGGCAGGTGCCGGAAAGCCCGCTGGTCTGGCCACACTCTCCGGGACAGGATGAAATTGTCCAGCTTTTTCGTCTTGGCATACGTGCCGAAATAAACCTCCTGTCGGATCAAGCACAACAACGTGGGGCGAAAAAACGGAAACTTTTCACCCATGCGCAACATGGGGGGCAACAGGGTTGGTCTTGATCCTGTCATTTCAGGTACATCAGCGAACTGCAGAAGCTTTGAAAGCTCTAAGCAAATTGGGAACAAAATTTGCTGCTTCATTCTTTCGTGCAGCCAGGTGCTGGCATGATGATACTCAACTCCTTCACAGTCTTCTTTTGTTTCTTCAACTCCAATAAGTCGAGCTGTCTTGTAGCCTTACACAAAGTATTATAGCGGTATTACCCCTGTCTCCCCGTTCCTGCGTTTGTCCGAGTCACGCAAAACCTTTTTCCGAACCGAGACCCTTCCTTCACGCTGGTTTTGCTGGTGTTGATGTCGAATCTCATCGAATCAACTAATAATAGCAAAATGTGGTGAGACCTCCTACACCGCTGGCGGGAAAAGGTGTCCGTTGTCGAGACGAAAGGTTTCGAGAACCAACTAAACGCTAACCCTAACCCTAACTCTATCTGCTCCAACCAGGAGCAATCAGAAATACACTACGGAACGGGGTTGATGGGACGGCTACGTCGCCAGACAGTTGTTGTGCCGACTCACCCTCAGCCGAATGATATCCGACGACGCCTTTTCCTGCGTGCGCTTGCTCCGCCCGCAGGCGATGTAATAAAAGTTGTCGTTGGCAACCATCATCGCTTCATGGGCCTGGGCGATCCAGGATTGGCGCTCAGTGGGCAAGATGCTGTGAATGTGATCGCCTAGCACCTGCGCGCAGTGCATGTGCGGCAAGCGTAAGGGTTGGAAAATCATGAGTTTTTTATGCTAGAGGAGAGAGGGAAACAACGTCTACGGCGATATCGTTTCATGCTCAGGATCGACGAAAGAAAGAGTTTACTTCCAATCACCACACGAGTGTGCCTCGATTTGCGGACGCTGTGTGCCCCGATAGATACACACGCCCATAAATCGCAGGCCAAAGGGATTCCGACAAGTAGTACACCACGCCTTCGCATAATGTAGCCCCCAAAACTCTATCCCGCAAACACTTCTGGGGCTCACTGACGTGGACTGAACCTTCCGCTGCTGCAGGAGCAAACCCTGCAACCGACGACCACTCACTTCGTGGTCTGTGGGCAGACACCTTGCCCTTGACGTCGCCTGCAAGACGACCATCCCGAAAGACCACACGTCCATCGAGGCCTTCAGCGGAACTTTCCAGCCGTTGGCGACGCCCATGGCCTCGGGAGGCGTGAATGGCAGCGTCACGTCTCCCACATTCGCCACACCAAGCCCTGTTCGCGAAAAGATCAAGATATGGGTAGGGATCACAGATGATAATGGCAAGACTCATGGTTCTTGGGGGCATCGGCTCTGAAGCAGGTTGAGGTCAGGATCCTCTCGTGTACGATAGCAGTCAGAGCTAGGGTTCGCACGACATATCAAGGTCATTGCTACCGCCGTCGACGACCTGCCTTGCCTGCGTTGGTAGACGGTTGGGCAGACCGGTACGTGCCGTCTTTTTTGTTATTTTCTGATTCCTTGGTGCCCTCTGGTGGAACTGTGGATGACACAAACAACCGCTTTTGAACCTCCTCAGTCACGTATAGTGTTAAGTGCATGTCCCGCTTCTCTCTCTCTCTCGCTCTCTTTCTCCCTACGTGTGTGTGTGTGCACCAAAACGAAACGTGCTGGATATCATGCTCACTTCCGACACTCCCAAAGTCGGATATCTTGCACTCTCTGAGGTCGTCGGACACGAGCATGTTCGCAGGTTTTACGTCTCCGTGCGCAAAGCCCATCTCGTGCATGAACTTCAAACCTAGCGCCGCGCCGCAGATCAGCCTTGCAGGTGTTGCGTCGATGTGGATGCGGAACGTTGGTAGTGATTCACCACAGGTTTGGGGTGGGGAGAGGAGGCCACAGGCAGTACAGGCGGGGGTAGGTCGGGGCGGCAGAGTTTGAGGGGTACGCGATGAGCTGGATGCCGTGGTTCACGCATGTAGCAGCTGTCGGGAAAGTGGGAAGAAGTAAGGGCGGCGGGGACGGGAATAATGGCATGGCGCTCGCGTACCCTTTCAAGCTGGCGCGGCTCGCGCTGAAGACGCGCCGCTCAATCCGGAAAGTACACTGGGATACCGTATATGACACAAGATAACACACCCCCTGGACCGATTTTCAAAGCTCGATTACTCCACGACGAAGAGGATGCATAAATGAAACAATACGTTTTCGAACAGCTCTCGACGAGACGGTTCCAACGCCGCCGTTTTCGGCGCTGTGACTCTTCCTGCTGTTGAGAAATCGAGCTTTGAAAATCGGTCAAGAGGGTGTGTTATCTTGTGTCATATACGGTAGTTCTATCGCTGTGCGTTCACGACAGCCAACCAAAAGTGGAGAGGAGAGAACTTACCTCCGTGCTGTACCAAACCGATGGATTGTAGGAGCAGTGAACGACCGCAATCAGGCATTTTCTCAAGACAGTCGAGATTGTGGACTTCCTTTGACTTTCTGCCACCCTCCCTTTAGAGTGCTGTGAAGTTGGCAGTCAGACTATTGTTGCATGCGGGGCACAGACGGAAACAAGGATTATCCGCGCCTTACGCGTCTACATACCGGGGTCCAGTTCAGAGAGAGACATGCATTCTACCCTGATTCCATGCGATAGGACAGGGCTCACGCGAACCATCGCTGAATTGTTTCAAACGAATTGGTACAACGCTCGATAAAGTCTTCAACTGTCTTACTTTTTTTGCGTACTTTAGTGGTCCCCCTGCTCCCTCCATCCCGAAACATCTTCTCTTGTGCTTCTGACAATATATTCCGACTCTCGGGCTAAGTTAGACCACTCGCCGCCTGGTGTTTGGCCGGCCGCCCGAAGTACGGCTCTGCATTCCAAGCCTAGACTGTACAGTATGAAGCGCTCTCGGCGAATGGTCCCACGCGACTTCATACATATTCCACTCATACACATGTGTCCTTCGACAACTATGTCAAGCGTTCGAGGCAGCAACAAACGCAACGCCCACTCACCGGACCATCTGATCTTGTGATACCCGGTCGATATCTTCCCTTGTGTGGTTGAGCAGGTGCTCCAGGTCCATATGCATCTTTTCCATAACGATGCTCCGCGTTGCAATGTTTGTCGCGAACACGTTCGTGATGTTGGGGTGGCAGGTGGGCATGAAGCTGTGGGGGGGGAGCAAACCGGGAGGAATCGGGGCGAGGGAGGGTCCAGATGGTGGTTGAGAGACCATACTTCTAAAATGGGATATTTCACGCAATATTGGGAGTTCTACGACTATTTCCGGATCTCCGCAGGGGCGCGGTTTGTTGGGGGGGTTCCAGAAGGCGGTAGTCTCATACAACCGCTGCTAGAGCGACCTCTATGGCGGAAGAAACGACGTATGGAGTGGACCTTCCACCTTCCAATCGCCCGTGGGTTCCGTTTCACAGCGTCACGTAGCCTATCGCAGGATCGCTCCTCCAGGCGAAAAAACCGTTAGCATGATTTGCGACAACGTACCCGGAATCTGCACAAACCGAGGTTTGTCCGTGGGTCGTATTGTGTAAGGGCTAGGACAACATGCCAGCCGTACCTCGCCAGCATCCTGATCTCTCTCATTCCCGTGTCCCTTGTCCCTTTCTTCGGCTGCATTGGCGAGAACGTTCGGGCGAGGTATTCGAGACACCGCCGGGAAAAAAGAAGGACGGGGGTAAACGGCAAAAAGGGGTGACGGCTTGAGAGCTTTCCTTTCGAGCGTCTGAGTTACCACAGATTCGCGTTGCTTGGCCTTTTTCATATTTCTTTCTGCCAGAGATAATATCCAACCGCCAAGCTCGACGCGACCATTCACCCCCGAACAGGCTCAGCGCCTCAACACACGACTGCTATTACGAGGGCTCACCTTCTTGAGGGTCTTCAAGACAAGTCCTTGTCCCACGCCGGCCGCGGCAAATTGGCCCTGAAGCTGTTCATCGGCGATCTTCAGGTCGAAGACGCCTCCGCCTCCTCCTTCACCTAGCTTCGCCCCCTTCTCGGTCGCTACCACCCCAGCAACAATGTCGCCGCGTGCGCCTCCGCTTCCTCCGTGGCTGCCGCTCAGTGGGAGTAGCGACGCCAGGAACCCGACCCCGTTGAACCTGTCGAGAGCCTGTCGGCGGGCACACGTCAGGAGTGCTTCGGCCCTCGAAGAGAGGGCGGATCTAACGCCTTTGCACTCAAGACCGATCGCGCCCCGCTGGTGCTGCTGCTTCCGCTGCGATGGCGGCGGCGGCGGCGGAGAATGCTGATGCTTCTGCTTCTTCTGCTGCTGCTGCTTCTGCTTCTGCTTCTGCTTCTGCTTCTGCTTCTGCTGCGACGGCGGCGGCGGCGGCGGCGGCGGCGGTAGAAGGGAGACGCTAGCGGCGGATCCAACCACGCTATCGCCGGAGCTGCCGCCGGAGTCGTCCCCGTCATACGTCAAAGGGCCATCGTAAGACCCATCACTGGCGAGCGAGGGGCAGCCTGAAGAGACGATCGTGGAAAGCTTGGCACCGTCGCTGTCGTCATCATCGTCGTCGTCATCACCATCGTCGTCGTCGTGGGAGCTTCCCTCCTCGCTCCCGTCGTCGAGTGAGGGGCAGCCTGAAGAGACAACTGTGGAAAGCTTTCCGCTGCTGTTATCCTCGCCGTCTCCGCCGTCACCGTTGCCTTCGTCATCGTCGTCATCATCGTGCGTGCTCCCCTCCTTGCTCCCGTCAGACGTGTCCGAGCCAGAACACGAACCAGACTCGAGAGAGGGGCAGGTTGAAGCGGTGTCTAGGCAGGGCTCCTCGAAGCGGTCGTGGCCGTCAGGCTCGTGGTCGTCGCTCCCGCGCGTGCCCTCTGCTCCGCTGCCGCCGGACGCGTCGGAGCCGGCGTAGGAGCCAGGTGAGGGCAGCCCTGCTGAGACGTGCTTGGAGGGCTCGTGGTGATGGTCGTCATCGCCGCCCCCGCCTCCGCCGCTATCGTTTCCGCCCTCCTCGGGACGGGGACAGCCGCAGGGAACGCTCGTGTGCTTAGACTCGTCGTCCTCATGGGATTCCGTCTCGGTCTTCTGCCCTTGAAGCTCGGTCATATCACGGTAAGCCTGCAGCAGAAGGGCCTCCAGACGACTTCGCTGTCCGTCCAAGACAAGGTTCTCCTTGCGCATCTGTTAACGTGTGGAACACGTGTACTTTGGTGTTTGAGTTTTTCGTGAAGAGGTGTCGGGGAAACCGTACATTTTGCAAAGCCTCAGTCAGGTGGTACCACGCGGTATGGGCCAGCAGAAAGAGCTACTTGTTGCGGTCTATGGAACTGACTCTAGAAGCCGGATGGACCAACCACAACGCGATAGTTGCAGTGGTGCGAATTCCCCCCCCAAAAAAAACTAAGTCCTTGAGTCAACGAACGCCTCTACTCTAGTGCCAGTGAGCACTAAAACTTGCGTATTGCTAGGGAACGTAGGATACGCACACCTCCTTGTGTTTTCGGCATCCTATGTGCGCAGACATACGCGATAATAGGCCGTTTTTCTCGACCGTACGGTTGGGCGTATTTACATTTACATGAGAAAGAGCGCCGTTCCCGGGTGACGCAGGCAGCAATTCCTCTGTGGTATGTGCTTCTATTTTGCTGCGCGAGACAAATGTTCAGCTGTTCCCTCCCGCCAGTGTACTCAAAAGACAACAAGCGTTTTGTATTTGCTGGGTATCAAAAGCGGACGGAACACCTCGCCACCGAGATTCGAACTCCGAATTCTCTACTTATCAGAAGGTTTTCGAAACACTGACAAAATGTACCAGAAGGGACAGGCAGAAGGCGACTGTTGATCGTCTTCGAAAGCAAGAACAGCCATTCAACCATCCTATCCCAACCCACTCTCTCCCGCTTTACCAAGAGCTCACCTCTCGCAACTCGGCCGCGTGACGCTCGACGTCTTCTTGATGCAGCTTCCGTTGCTGAACAAGGGCCGCGGCTAGCCTCTCCTGGTCGCTCAGGGCCTTGCTGAGGAGGCCCTTGGTCCGCCTCAGCTCGGCAGAGGTGTTCGTGTTAGGAGAGTCTTGCTGGGATCGGTCGCGAAGTGGGCGGTGAGTGGGTCGGGACAGCTGCATTACCATTGGGCGCGTTCGGTGGCGGTGGTTGCCTCCAGCACCCTCGTCATCACGGACGCCATCGTTCTCACCACGCTGTCAGGTGACACAAGAGAGAACGGCGGGCGAGAAAGTCGTCGAAACGATCACCATAGGCTTGTTCTCACGATATAGGATCAGCTAGTGTACGTCAAGGGAGCTAGCCCACGAGAACAACAACAACAACAACAACAATGTTGGCAGCATCAACATGAACACCGATGGCAGGCAGCAAAAGCGCCGGTGGAGTAAACAAAACCAATGACGACAACCTGCGTCACCTTCTCCTGGGCAAAGTTACCCGCTGCAGCTGCTGCGGGTTTCGCTGCCGCTGATGCTGCCGCTAACGCCGTCGCCGCCGCGACAGCGCCATCGCGATCAGACCGCGAGAGCTCGCAGCCTTGCTTGCGAGGGCCTCCTCCCCTTACACCTCCTGGTGCGCGGTTCGCTGCCGCCGCCTTAACCTGACGATCACGCGGAACTCCTCGTTCACCAGCACCGCTGCTGAACGGCGTCCCGGCCGGGCGAGCGATGAAGGCTAAGCCCCGCGACCGCGCTCTTGCCGCGGCGTTGGCGCTTGCCGGCGCACTTGGTCGACCGGCATTGACAACGGTCGGTTTCTGGCGGTTGCTGCCCTGACGAACCGTAGAGCTGCGACCATCCCTAGTTCCCACCACGTGGCCTTCCTTCACGAGGTGTCCACCACCTCGCCCACCTCCCCAGCCCCCCTCTCCCTTGCCCACCTTGAGAGCAGAGCACTTCCTGCTGCTGCTGGGACCGCCTCGACACAACGCCGCCATGTCGGCGGGGGCGGCGGAAACTGACTTGACGCCAGGTGCAGGAGTGCCGGTCTCGAGAGAAGCAGGCACTACCATACCGGGCGTAGCAGCGGCACTGCCGATGTTCTCCTCATTGTGTGAGGATGCTGATGGTTTGCCCGGCCCGACCACGTCGCCTGCCGTCGCACCGACCTCGGCTGCGGTCGCGGTGGCAGGCGGAGCACGGAACTGGCGCTTGCTTTCGTCCGCCGTAGCCGTGGCCGCGATCGCTATCGCCGATTTAGCATTCACCCCCTCGAGCGAAGCCTGGACTGCTGTGTCCGCCCCGGTCACTGCGCTATCCGTTGAGGCCGGCAGTCTGCGACGCGGGACGACGTCGTCTGTGGCGATGGCGGCGACAGTGGTGGCAGAGTCGGCAGAGGGGGCGGCTGCTGCCGTAGCCATGCCGCCTTTGTCGCCACTGGTCGCCGATGAAGAAAAGGGGGAAGGAGAATCGCTTCCCGCCTCGCCGTGCAGCTCCTTGATCAACGCCGTGAGCAGGATGCTAAGCTCCTTGCACACGGACGCCGGATTCGTTCCTCCCATGCCGAAGTGTTCGAGCAGCGTCTGCTTCGTGGCGGGAGCGGCTCTCGCCGCGTTGTCGAGGAGCTCGAGCACGGCCTGGTCCTTGTTCGCGCGCTGTTTGCTGACTTGCCTCGCCCAGGTTGAGATGGTGTTGACGGCGCCGCGGCTTCGATCGGCACCAGACGACTGTTCGAGCTGCCGCACTTTGATGGAGGTGGGTGAGAATCTCTGGGTCAGGGCGAGGAGGACAATAGCCTTGCCGACGTCGAACAAGCGACTGGACACCTTGGCAGGCCTGAAAAGAGAAATAGAAAAGGCAGGGCGGGACGTGCGCGCGGGTGGGCAACGATCGTGTTTGTCACCGAAAGGGAACGAAAAACACTTACTTGCTGAGTGCCACCCCGTATTCAACTTCCTCGTTGTCACTACCACGCGCGCAACTTAAGCTTCAACCCAGGAAGGCATTGTAGTTGCTCTGGGGTACCAAAGACACCGCTCAACAGCAACGTCGAGAGAGTTAGCACCATGGAGAGGACTGGTCCTGGCGAGCGAAGGGCAAGCCCAACCAGGCAGCCGCCCGGAACTTAACTACACCGAGGGTAATCGGCCCTCAATGATAACATAAATCCCAGGTGGTTGTTCGCGGTGGGGATGGTGGCAGTTGCTAGGCGTTGTTTTCGCTTGCAGCAGACAACGGAGAATATGCCCGTGCGATAAAAGCGGGTAAGGAATGACGTTACAGCGGGGTTAGGAAATGTTTAGGCCGCAGGGGAAGTGCTAAAAGGTAGCGCTCACGATTTAAGAAGGTTCGCCACCACCGAAAGGGCCTTCGACAGGCGAGGGACTTCGTTGTTGTGATAAAACCGAGTCGGCGTTGTTGCCGTCGGTGGTGCTGCCGGAACAGATCCGGGGGCGAGACGGGGGCCCGCCGGAGTACCCGCCGAGCGGGGTGTAGCAGTGGACGACATCATCCTCTTGGAAGAAAATTTCGTCGGGTACCTGGGAGACACGGCGGCGGTTGCGTGGGACAAAACAGCGGCCTGTCTATTTTGACGTGCTACAAGTATACATCCATGGCGTTGGTGGTGAATGGGCGAATCATGCTGTCCAATGACGGCCGTGTTCTGTCGAATGGATGGAGTGTTGTTGCAAACATACAACAACAGTAACACTGAGACTCGACCCGGGCGGGAAACTAAATTATTACGTGTACATATAGTACTGTATAGACTATTGTACTCCGGATGGAGGAGTAGTAGTATGTCAAAGGCAGCGAGGCAAATTGTCGCATGTAAGTGCATCTGATCGTTGATTTCTTTGGTTCACAAGAGTCTCGTACGATATCGTACATCATCGTTATCCAGTGAATAGTTTTACTTGTAGTTCGGTCAGGGACGACAAGTACGGGTCTGAGACGTACACGTTGAACTGCTGTGCCTCCGGCACATACACCTGAGATTTGGTTTTCGTCGCCCTAGCCCTCGCATGACGAAAAGCACTACCTATCCAACTACTCATCATCATGTTGGAAATTAAGATACCGTATATTTTTGTGCCCTGGTGGAAGTGCTCGCACTTCCATGCGTACTGTTCCGTACGAACCACAAATTTCGTAGGGGGCGTCCTATGATACCATGGCGGAGTCAAACACACGATGATGCCGGTCGTACGCACCGGGTGCGTGAAGAAAGGGAGGTAGCCTGTAGAAATCTCGTCGGAAATCGGATTTGTGACCCAACAGCACTATTGATAATCTCACCCACAGACTCCCGTACTCTGCAGACTAGACAACAGTAACGCGATCCATCTGGACACCTCCACCGGACCGGCTCGGCATCAAACGTCGACCGCAGCAAGGCCAAGGATTCCGTTGATCACCCAACGGTGGGCGGGCGCCATGCTCGGTCAAATACGCATGCTGTGCGGCCACCATCTAGGCATGTACTGCCCTTGAAAACTAAGAGCAGCGTCACAACGTTCGTTATACACATTCGATATACTGTACAACCTAGGCCCAAAACACGGCCGGCCACAACGCAAAAACGAAGACCTCGCGGACGTCTGTGAAGGGAGCATGTTGGCTCGACGATTTGTGCCGACCCACGCGCCGGTGGAGGCTCGAGACTCTATAGGTACCGCGGGTGATATTTTGTCGTGAGGGAGACACCATGCGTGTCTAATACGTCAATGAACATACTGTCGGGTACGCGTGCAATCGTGTGCCAAGTCATGGCAGGTATCATAGCTCTCACCGCTTATCGATCTCTCTCCCACGGCGGTATCCGCAGGCAATGTTCTGGCGAACGCACGTATGGACTCGTAGATGGTTTCTTCCCGATCGCGACCTTAACTTCGTTGCGACAAGTGCAACGCTGTCAAGAACCGAAACCAGGGTAGCCGTGCTTTGTGAGCAGGTGCGCGCTGGTGTGCTCCTCGCCTCGACAAGTTAGTTATACGTTGAAGAACAAAAAAAAAGGCACACACTCGATATAAGGCGAACCGGAACAAAAATTTGGGCGAAAAGGAACATTCGAGACGTTTCGTTTTCCCACGCGTTAAAAACATCAAACCAAACTTCATATTGCCGTGACATATACGTACGGAGTACAGTCAAATACACAAGATGGCCCCCAAACTGTCTTGTTGAGCCTGTTACCAACAGGGGAGTTATCGCTTTATGCCGCTGGGCGGAATCGTGACACAAATTAACTGACTGGTTATCACACAACGCTACTACATTGATTGATTGCTATGAGTTCATACTCCTTTTCCGTGTGTGTTTTTATTGTTCCTTAATACTCCATATCCCGGGCTCTTAACAATTGTATGCGTGAAAGAAACACTTCCTACAACAGTGGAAGAGCTACTGCTGTATTCCGTTGTGTGCTTGTAAGAAAAAATAACGCTTCGAATGCATAGTATTTTGAATGTGAAGAAAGCAACTACTTCAGGTATTATTGTACCTTGCAGATACACACCACACGAAAATATAATTTCAGCGTGCAGGGTACAGGGGTGAGAGTGTGTTACGCGCGGAGCAGCAGAATATCGATAGTCTAAGGCGTACAAAAACAGGCTACAGAATGGGCTCCGGAAGGTTGGTGACTTGCCTCAATGCGGCAGTGCAAGAGGACATGGTAGTGCTGGTTTCCGTACAAATTCACTTGTAGGCCGCGCATTGATCCTGCTGTACGCGCGGAAAAATTGTAACACCACAGCGAAGTCCGTAGACTACTTTGGATAGGAAAGTAGTAGTAAATAAAGTATGCATTGTAATGTTGAAGAATTTTATTTCATGCTGAACGAACGGTTGTTGTTCTATAAAACGAAGACAAGTATCCTCAAAATTGTACTCCCTAGACTTTGGTTACTTAGCCCCGCTTCTGAAACAAAGGTAGGTAGTAGGTGTCTTCTACAGAAAGCGAGGAGTGACCCTTAATTTTGGCTCAGCATAAGGTCTTCAATCCCGGTGGCACGCCTCTCAGCCACTACTTACTACTGTTTACCATTGTTGTGCCAACACAACTGCTGTCAGTCATGGCTGTATATTTTGCATCATTCTTGCTATTATGTGGGGCTAAGGTCTGTGAGTGCGACCATTCGATAAGTGCATCACTTCAAGAAGTTTACACCATAAAAAATATGTAAGACACCACGACACCACTCCCAACAGTATTATACCGTCCCAAAAACAACTAAATACTCCGCAGTAAATTATGGTACCGTAGGTGTCCCGATATAGTGCCGGTATATGTCCAGGCGATTTGACATGCACTATACCGGGCACCGGTATTCAGAACTAACTGTGCCTGATGCCAAACCGGCACTTTTCGGGGCCTGAAAATCCCTCCATAGTGAGTGCCGGCTTGGCACTATGCAGGACTATTCGACTTCAGAGTGCAACGCTTGCGCGTTGCGGGGCTGACAGAGTGCCAAACGAACGTTATTTGGATCAATCGTGAGGTGGGTGACGTGGGCGGGCTTCATTAAGTTTCGTGAGGCTCTTGGACTGTCGAAAACACGGCAGGCATTGGTCACATCAAAATTAACTTGATTGATTGACCAGTTTAATTTGTTGCACAGCAGTTGTTCTCTTCCCACCTCAGCGCAAGCACTCGCTAGTGAAGCGTTGCTGCTGCCTTTTAACCGTTGACCGTGCTGCCCGATAAAAGTTCACCTCGCTATCAAATTATTATGTGTTGTGTATTGCAAGAAGGCCGTAGCACTATTCAGGCAACCTCAAAGGCACCCCTCGACAGCGAAAGAAAGTCGCTCATGCACGCACCCGATGTACAACTGGAAGTAAAACATGGATGGATGTAAGCTCCTTAAATAAGCACACAAAAAAAAGCAGATGCAACCTAAAAAAGGGGTGAAGCATGTTGGATGTACTCACAGCATTGACAGATTATTGCAACCGAGGAATGTTCCTAGAAGATGGAGCGGGGGATTTTGGGGGTTCCGCAGTTGTAATAAATTGGGGGAATGGTGGTACCATCTTTGCCACATATTATTGTTTTCTGGGTATGCGTGTCAGCAACGGTGTTGGCCACGTGCCCTTGATTTTTTCATCTTCCTTTTTCCCGGCTATCACGCCCTGGGCTATCACGCCCGTGCCCATACTACCTATCCACCATCTATCACGCTGCCAGGCTTTCACGCCTCTAGGCTATCACGCCATCACAACAGCTATCACAGCACCAGCGTCAACACATCAGAGCTATCACGCTCCGGAACATCATAGATGCGGCGGGTTACCACACCCGTGGGCAGTTTACTGTATTTTATCGTTGCCGGCAAACTCGCCGCGCGGTTCTTTTATTTTTGCCGTCTACAACTGCGCCGGGCGCACCAAGCCACCCAACAAAGCAGATAACGAACTCCCCTGTTCCTTCGATAAAAAGCTAGAGAGAAGACCAAGCTTGCTTTCAGAAGCAAGAAAAACGACTGGCCAACCAAAAGACGTCAGTCTCAGTGCGGTCAAAAACAGAAAATATTTGTTTCTCAAGGCCGTGAGAGGGTGTCATGGAGGAGGCTGAGCTATTCTCTGGATAAAAGACAGAAATGGTAGCAGCAGAGAGAGGAGAACTACGTGACTGCCAAGGCTTACTACTTTGAACACGCGTTCCTTAGAAATATTGTATTTACCACCACTCACTCACTACTACACTCTTCATCTATCTCTAGATTCTGCGCCACTGCGGCGTTTGTTGTGAGGAAGGTCATCTCGCTCGAAACTCTTGCTGTTCCCCTCATCGCCATATATATTGTCTCCTGCATCATCACGGCTATCCTTGGCTATATTTTCCATATCCTTCGTCACTACCACTATCTTCCTTTTCGCTCGCCTCACTACTGAAACCCCAGCCTATTGGCGGAACCTGGTCGATCGGTATACCGTGACATTTGAAGACGTCACGCGTACCGAGAGGAACCGAGCTATACTTGTAGCTCGAAGGGAAACCGTCTCAGAATCCTGTTGGCGTGGAAGGCTTGGGGCGAAAAAAGGTGTTGTGTGTGGGGTCTGAACCGGCACTATTGACGGGTTCGATAGTGCCTGAACCGGCACTATAGTGGGCAGCCCTGAATAGTGCCAAAACGGCACTATTCAGGGCTGTGTCTGTATCGAGAAATTTTACCGGCACTATTCCACCGGCACAATATCGGGACACCTACTGTACATACAACAACACACACACGTTAATCCACAAATGTATGTGTAGCCTTCTCCACGAGACTGTCGACCGACGAAACGGGGCCACCGAAATGGCGTGTCCCTTGCCGAAGAACAGGACTCAGAACGGGTCCACTCACACGTTTACATCCCACACCATGAATCCGCCTGTCTTTACGAACTCTACTACTGTAGGTCCACGCACGACCCCCCAAAAAAACATGGTGGTCTACCAGGGTAAGGATATCGCCTTAGGGCCATATTCGTGTGCAAGATAGGCGAGCAGGGTTGATCCACTACATCAATCAGAAAGCTGCCTGCCACCGTTAAAGCCGAAAGGAGCACAAAGAGTGCGAAACCGATAAGATGTGCTGGGCTTCGACCTGCCCACAATTTATTGCCGAACAGGTGACAAAGACCGATACCTTGGTCACGACTTTGGGGGAATCTCACCCGACTTCCCCCAAAGACACAGACACCCGTGTGCGTGATGCGGAATGGGGTGCCGACAAGGGCGGCTACACCACATCCACGCCTTACACCTCTCTTTCTTGTATTCGGAGCCGCCGGCGTGTCGGATCAAACCGTCACGCAGAAAGCAGACCGAAAGTGGTGGACGCGCAGCTGTAGAGAAGTGCTGTCTGCTCCGCCCAACAATCGATCCCTTGAAACTGTCCCAGACTGTTTGACAACAAGCACCTTGGCGTGCATGCCATGTTTCTTTTCCTCGATCTAAGCCTGCCTCCCGTACGCGTCAACACCAGCTCGAGCCCGCCATTTTCACGCACAAGCCGAAGCGGTGCGTGCGAATACCTGCTGTTGCCGCTCTGCCGCACTTTCTGGGACAAAACAAACCCACCGCGTAAATACGGCCTGCGCTCGGTGCCCGCAGCTCAAGACAATAGGTTCTACATTATTATTGCCATCTCACTACACCTCCCGTCGTCGCCGCCGCCGCTGCAACGGCTGCTAAATGCCGCGGCTACTTCGCCTGGATCTTCTTCTTCTCCTCCAGCTTCTGCTCCAGGTTGGCGATGTTGCGCCGCTGCAGCTGCGCCATCTCCTCCGCAAGCTCCAGCTCCTGCTCGAAGATGCCGGGGTCTCCGGCCGTCTCCCGGACGGACTTGAGGTGTCCCCGGGCGTGCTCCGACAGCCAGGCGAACTCCCCGCAGCTAACGCGGAGGGCGTGCAGTTCCTTCTCGCTGCGTG